ATAAAAGAATTATCATACTACTTTTGTCATGAAATGGGGTTCAATGCCTGTAGCAGTGTTGTGTGGGTGACTTATGGATGGTTCAGGCATTCTGTAACACTGAGAATTGAAGACCCCTAGCAGAAGATGTATTAATTTTGATAAGGATGAATAACTATGTTCTTTAAAGTGAAACAAGGCTATAGCAACTAGCAAAGAGGAACCTGGCCAATTTGCCCAAAGAATGATTCCATGATAATGTCCGAGCACTGGAGGGTTGGACATCGAACTGTGGCAGTGGCTAAACCAACCTTGTTGAGAAGGAACTCGTGTAGTGGAGCCCATGTTTAATTTCCATTCCCACCCAAGGCTGTGTGTGTCTTCTCTTCACAGCCTCATGCAGTGGTGATCACTGGGGGTTTCTGGGTGACATCCCAGGAACAGGTCATCACAGCCACCTCAATTCTGAATGCCTCTCTGTAGCAGATTCCCTCTAGTGAATGTCAACCTCACACACAAAGGTACACAACATTTTGCTTGTGCCTAATTGTACACTCACAAGTGTATTTCTTAGACCTTCTTGTCCCTAATTTTCTAGTCTTTACTTCAGGATCCAAGATCAACAGCCAAGCCATCTGTTAGAGCACAGAAGGCAGTGTATTTCCATAGTCCGGGCCATCTCTCTTTCTTTGTGAAGTGACCCCTTCAGGTCATACTGAGTGAGGTTCTAGCTCCATTTCTGGATACAGCCAATATATTACATGGGGCCATCCATGATCCACAGTTGAGTTCTTTCTTCCTCCATCAGCTGATTGAAGAGATGCTCTGATGAAGCCGTGGTGTGTATAGAAGGATAGGTATTGGTATCTTGGAAACAAGTAGTACAGGTTCGTAACTAGTGGAGTTAGTAGTTAAATCTATTAGTCTGGTGCTTAACGTCTGGTGCTTAAAGTGTAATTTCCATTACACAATGTATTACTTCATTTTTTTTGTTTTTCTTTGCCCTGCTGTTTTGAACATGGTAAATCTTAGAGCACACAGATCAGGTTGAAAAGTCACCTAGTGTCCCAAGGAAATGCACTCGGTATCTCTCAGGGGCCCATGGCATGCCAGAGTTATTTCAAACAGAAAGGATTTGTTTTGGTTTTGTTTGTTTTTGTGTTCTTCCTCTGGTCTGATCCCAGAGTTCTAGGAGTCGGCCTCCTGACCCCTCCATCCAGGCTTGTCAGAGATGCCATACAGCATCTTTCCCCACTGTGGATAAGTCCAGCTCCTTTGGCCATGTTGGGTTATAGGTTTGACAGTGTAGCTTGGACTAGAGAATCTATTTTCTGTCTGGGCCCCAAGCAACCCACAGCTTTCCAAACTACCACACAAATGGGTCAAATCATGATGCCTAGGTGAGGTACATGCTGCCTTGAAATTGTCCCGCCAAGCACTATCTTTCTTACAAATAAGAGGTAGAAGACATAATTTGAGGACTTGGGGGGATGATGGGCCAGCTCCCTAAATATTAGTGGGGTTTACCTTCCACCCTTCGGCATGCATGGGTTTTGTAAAGATGGCTGTTCACAAAATGGCTTGATGCTATCAATTCTGTGGGCCAGGCAAATTTGAAGATGACCCATGCTCCTGTGACACTAAGTTCCCCTGATTACCTGAAAAAGAGCTGGGGAGTTAGCCTAGAGCTAATTTACCTGGTATATCTGGGGTTTTTTTGTTTTTGTTTTTTTGTTTTTCTCCAGTACTGGGAACTGAACTCACGACCTTGCGCTTGCCAGGCAGGCGCTTTTGCCGCTGAGCTAAATCCCCAGCCCCTTACCTGGTATACCTGTTGTATTTCAGGTCTTTGACCTTTCCCTCAATATGATAAGCAGATGCTGGCATTTCCATCTTGTTTGCTGTACGTGCTCTCGGATAATCATTAGACTGGCTCCAAGCTGTCCCTACAAGAACACTGGATTCTGTCCAGGTTGGAGGTGAGTGCTTGATGCCGATTATTCCTACATACAGTCTCATACCCTGTCCTGCGTGGTCTAACACCCTCACCCGCTCCATTTACCAGGATACACTGACCACATTCTACTTCCTCAGGCGTGCAGGCTGCTCTTCTTAGACCAGAGTTTGTATTTCCTTCTCAGGCTGAGCTGAGACCAACATCTGGTTGTTGAGGAAGGCACAATGGGCCAAAAGGAGACACAACTTGAAAATAATGTCAGGTGAAGTAAAGCCAGTCCATGGTGTTCTAGCTGGGGAAAGGTGTTTCTTTCAACTAGGAGGTTTAGGAAAATTTAAATTCAAGATTCCTGACTTATATGTTCAATCATCCATCTGAGGTTTCAGATATCCTTTCCTCATTGGAGCCCTGGCTGTCAAGGATACCTGTCAAGCAAGCACATTTGATGTTTTTTTCCCCCCAGCTCTGTCACCCTTGTACTCAGATCCTGGGCCTGATTTTGAATGGGTCTTCTTGTGGTTGCATAGTGTCTCTGAACATTTTCTTAGAGGCCCTTGAGATTAAGAATTGCTTCCCTGAGCCTCCCACTCTTTCTGAGGATGTCAAGTGCAGTTACCTATACAGCGTCTTTATTAGTGTCACTCATACTACCAGAAGCAGTTGCCATGTTAACTCCCACTGCCCCGCCTTGTACCTATTCCTCAAATTAACCAGAAACAAGAGCATCAGTGGCTCTTAGGCCATCAGGTGTCTAGGTGCGTTACCCACAACTTACTCAGAACGAAAGTGTCCCTCTTACATGCAGTGGGAAGTGATTCCAAAATCCCATCCTGATGGGCTATTTTCTAGAAAATCTTTGACACTGTCTTGTCAGGAGTTCAGAAGGTAACAGTCTGAGGTAAAGCTCGTACAGGAATACTTTACTGTGGTATAAAATACCAAGGTGGCAGGAATGAGGGAAAATAAACTTGAAGGAGGAAGGGAAAGCAAATACAAGGTGGTTTATTACAGAGCTGGCTTCAGTTTAAGGAAAGAAGTGATTTCTGTCAAGTGAGCCATCTGCGGGCAGTCCAGGCACAAGTACCATTCTTCAGAATAGCTTAGAAGGGAGAAAGGAGGGGGCCCAGCTCCTCTCCCAGCTCCTTCAGTGGTCCACATGGGCACTCGGAGATTATCTGGCTGTAACTTGGGAGCTGTGTCACCAGGCCCTCTGGTCAACTGCTGGAAAATACAGATCCTGTATGGCATGCCACACAGTTCATCTGAATCCAGAAAAGGGGGCTGGCACCTATCTTTTAGGTGTGTGATTGGGTTGGGTCTGGGTGGCCCGCATTCCCACTGAGGGGAGTGGGAAAGGGACAATAGCAAGGTAGCCAAGATGTCCCAACAGGTCAGTGACCAAGAGCCCCGGGGTTGGGAGAACCTAGTGAAGCAGGGAATGATTCACTTACCATGTAAAGCCCTGCTTGGAGTCACGGTACTTACCCACTATGTCATTCTACTATCAAACATGCATGGATGTGCTACTCATATAGAGAAAAAACAAAACGAAAAAACAAGGCTCTGCACATACTCAGCAGGAAGACCAAGTATTTGAGCCCAGTGCAGTGTTTGTACTTGAGGCCAGACTGGAAGGCATGGCGGCTGTGGACCTGTGCTGATCACTTCAGAATGAAAAGGGAATTTTTCTGTTAGTTATTAGTATGAAATACTGTTTAGACCCATCAGCTCCGGAACACTCAACAATATACTTTAAAATGAGCCACCACACACAGGATGTATTGCAGCCTAGACCTGGGCTAATATCGTAAAAACCTTTTATTAAAATTACTCTCTAGTAAACCTTTGCAGCCCATCTATTATTTTGATGTAGTATTTCTATCTCACTGATAAAATGTTCAGTCTTCACATGGAATCTCCAACGCCAAATTCATGTAAACAGTATTTTTAAAATATAAGTCTTCAAACCTCAACTAAGCATTATGTTCTTTCACAAACTTTAAAAATAGTCACAGCACAAACCCCAGCACAAAGGGGAAGTAACTCCTGGGGAACTGAAAGTTGTACAAGCCTCGTTAGATAGCAGAAAAATTAAAAAAAATAGTTTTTCTTGTGTGTGTGTGGCAACAGACACAAATATAAATTATTTTGGCCTTGACTAATTCAATTGGAAGATACGGTTATGATCAGATTTTCTTACACAATCAGTTGTTAGTTTCTTGTTCACAAAGATCTTCAAGCATAAATAGAAATGCAGTGATCCTATTCATTCAGGCATACAGTGCTTTATCTATTTGTTTCTAGTGCACTTGAGAAAATGAGCAATGTATCCCATTTTGCTTTTGCAGGCTTTGTTTTTGCTATTCAAAAAGCTTCCATATGAACACAGAACAAAAACTTCGATCTGCAAAATCTGAATCTCAGCAGGGCAAAAGAATTTATTTAAAGTGAAATAAGATACTCAGTACTGAGATTGAGGAGAGGATAAACTGCTTGGCATTTCTCCACCTGTAGTTCCCTGGTGCCTCTTTCTCTCTGTCACCTGCGCTGTGTCCCTAGGTAGTGTGACCTATGGTGGTGGAGAGGAGAAGAGCATGTTCTGCCCCTGAGATCCTGGTGAGGGGACATGCCAGCAAAGGAAGCTCCTCCTCCTCGAACCGGGACACCCAAGACACATAAAGGGAAAAAGATCAATGTGAATGTGGTTCTTAACTATGGTGCTCACCGAAATAAAGAAATCTCTCTTCTAAAGTATCAAGTAATTGTATACAAGCTAGAATGACTGACATTGGGAAGGTCAAAGATAGTCATGTGAGTATATATAGTAATATTTTAACAGTAAAATAGAATGAATGCAAGTTCCTTGAGCAGAAAATTCCAGAACTGGTAGGTGATTCTAACAGGTCACACGATAATTTGAGAGCCCAGGGGATGTTAACAGCTTACAAACAGATGCTTTCAGGCACAGCAAAAATACAACAAACCTACAGAATAAAATAAACCTAATTCAACGCCTAAAAAAATCTGTGTAATAGCTTTTAAAACAAAGACACAAACACTCCTGTAGAATTTATGTTTGCTTTATTTAACAATGTGGCTTACAAGTTTTTTTCAAGTAAAAAGGCTGTTTTATTTAGAATAAAAATTAAAATATAACTCTGATATAGATTTTCATTTATGTACATGAAAACATATATACAGAATACCATCTTACAGCAAACTAACAGCATGCCCCCTGTCCTGCAAATTCCAAAAGACACTAATTTTTCCCTTTTATGCACCAAAACACACAAGATATGAATTGAATTTCAATACAAACTATTCAAATTGGAATGTAACACAGTAAAGGGCTTCCAACATTCACGTCTAGGGACAGTTTATGCTTCTAGAGATCATGCTAGCTTCCATTCTGAACAAGAAGTGAAATGATTATTTCCGCTGTAACTCAAAAAAAAGTTTGCCTCAAATTCCCCATCTTAAGGTGGTTTTTCAGCAAATGATTGTCCTAAAACTTTCCTTTTCTTCAGGGTACCTCTTCAGGCCCCATGAAGCACTGCTGGTGCCTTGATTATCTGACATGGTCTACATCTCACTGATGCTGGGTGCTCGCCACAGGGTACAGATCCAGTACAACTCCAGCTCTGGACATTGTTTGAGCTGTTATTTATCACTTAAACTAGAGAGGATTTTAACCAAAACCCAAGGCAGCACCATATGTCAGCAATTACACAATTTTTAAATAAACAGGTCAAAAGTAGAGCAATTTGATTTTATCGTATCATGTTTTAGATAGCTGTAAACCATTCTACTGATAAGAGCTATGAGAATTAATCAACTTAAATTATACCAAATCAAGGGGAGTAATTTCCATAAAACTTTTGAACAGAAAAGCAGAGTTAAGAGAATTATTAAATTGTAATAGTTGCCAATGTGAATATAGCTTCCCTTATTATTTAGTTATTGCACGAAAGAGACACAGACAGAATGTATACCTTAAAAACTACACATAGCTTTATTTACTAATTTTTCTTTCAAATAATTGCACACTCAATCACAGCTTTCTAAAGACAGAATATAGAGTAACTGGAGCCTAGAATCACCATCTTATCCCAAAGCAGCGAGATGTCAAACCACAACGAAGACCTTAACACTCCTTTGTTTTGTTTTAGTCTTATGTACAGAAATAAATACACATGGGTGCTCTACAAAACTAGTATGAAAAGCCCTAGTCCCTGCAACACTAACAGGGACAGCTCTTATAAAGGGGCGTTTGGTATAACATGGAAGGCAAGTTCAGTACTTGCCTCACGCAATGCTCAAAATTCTATGATAAATTCAGAAACGGACCAATTTTCAAAAGGCAGATCAAAACCAACCTTCCAGAGATTGTAGTAAAGGTCAGAAGCGGCAGTGTGAAGGTCTGGATCATTTTAATTTATGGAGGAACAAATCAAAGTGAACACAAAGGAAATGATCTTTGAATGTGATCAAATAAGGTAGAGGAATCTAAGTAGCTGTACAGATCAAATACTATGTGTGACTCAAACTCTGATCAAAGGAATTTAATTTTTAAACTGACACACGAGTTCTCCATGGAGCTCCATGGCGAAGGAGCTGCTGTTGAAAAGCAAAGGCGTTCTGTAATGCCTGTAGTACCCTGTTCTTTTCAGGTTGGATTTTTATTTATTTTTTGTGTGCGGACAGGATTTTTTTTACAACACAGTACCAATACAGTCAGGAAGTCAGGGACTGAAACAGCCGGCGAGTTTTGGGGCAGGACTGAGCAGCAGACTCTCGTTATTAACAACGAAGTGACATTTCTGTTTCTCGGGTTATACACACAGTGCTGACTACAGGTGCCTGCTTGGCCAGGTCCAGGAGGTAACGAGTGGCATGATGTACACTGTCCAGCTGTATAAAGAAGACGACTTTGGACTCAAAGGAAGATCAAAGAAATGGTACCATCCAGGGATGGGGCATCATTTGTTGGTGTTTAGAGCAAGAAATGTTTGGCTCATGGGTTGTGGCAGCACGGGGTATGTGTATAGAATCCGTTTTATCTGCCATAAGCAACAGAGACACAACACAGCACACTCCTCCTTGGACACTGGCTCTGTCTTTAGGACAGAAGCTGGTAAAAGGTGAATCTAGAGAGAAGTGAAAACTACTTCAGAATTCTGTCATAGAACTGGTGCTGATGTGAAGAAGTACACCCACTGTGGTGGGATGCCCAAAGGACCCACGTCCAGGGACACTGGCGGCTCGCCTTGATTCTGCAAAGTGTCTCGGCCTTCCTGGAGGGTTGGGCAGGTGGCACACAGACAACATCCAGGCTGATGGCCTCCCGGCCCGGCACTCTTCCGCTCTGGGTACAGCCGTGTCCTCCTTGCCGTATGCACACAGAGCCGAAGTCCACAAAGTGGCTGATACTACGCAGAGAGAAACTGAAGCTAAACTGCAAGGCTAAAGGATAAGCGCAGTCTTGGACATTTGGCTCAACGGGAAGCAAAAAGCTTCTCCCAGCAATGGAGGCATATCCTGCTTGGGCTTCCTGATGCGTGATGCTCCAGCTCTCTGCAGAGACTAAGGAGACTCCTAGACTTCGGATGTAGCACCTCCTCCTCCATGCCATTACCGGAAGGGCACACAAAGGCAACATTCACTCTCAAAATACAATATTGTGCTGTAGCTGCGACATGTCCTCATGTTCACTTGCAACACACAGAACCAGCTCAGATTGAAAAGGCCAGAGTGAAGGAAGATAAAGGAGTCGGCACAGGCAAAATGTCACAGATCTTGAAATGGGTACCCTTTCCAATGCTGGGAAATTTAACACCACGGGAACGAGCGTTTAAGGCCAAAAGCGCGTGCCTAGAAGGCAGGGATAGGGAAGTGAGAAGAGGTCACACTGTAGGCTGGAAGAGAGTCACGTAACCGCAGCCGACCATGAATCACCAGGACACTTCTATCCTCGCCTCCTGTCAGCGGTGCCCAGGCAGATTCATTCTCCACGTGTTAAAAGCTGGACTATAGAAGTCTGCTGCAAGGAAGACTACACAGTCTCAATGACAAAAGATCTGTTTTTCGTGTTCATCTGTAGCTGATACAGAATGTAACGGTTAGCATGAAAATACATGGCAACAGCTAAGAAACCCACCACACCGCGTCCCTGGAAAGACTGAGACTCTAATCAAAGAAAAGGATCAACATAATGATGGTTAAAAACAAAACAAACAACAACAAAACAAAGAACAGTACAAATCCCAGAAGGTGGAAACGTCTGCGAGTGTCCACTTCCGAACAAAATAAACGTTTGGTTTCTTTGCGTCAGTTTAAAAAGGCATTGAGGCAACCACCAAGTAGAACCGTCTTTCTGGGTCTGCATGAACAGACTGAGCCCCTCACACAACACACAGATGAAGCGCTGGGTATAAAAGGCCAAGCACTCCTTAGAGCCACAGATTTGTGTGCAAGTGTCTCAGCTGATTTAACGCAAGTGCCCAGGGGATTTCACAAGCAACCTCAAGCTAGGGTGAGCTGCAGGAATTGCAGGCTTAAACGCTGGTGTCAGACGCCAACCTGAACTTCCTTTCCAGCATGAATGTGAGAAGGAGGCCAAGAGAGACAGATGCTTGCTGCTACACTCTACGGAAAGCTCACGCCTGTCCTTTTACGAGGACTGAGGTGCAGAAGGATGGGAAGTTGCCCAAGATCACACAGTTGGTCATTAGCAAAGCCAGGATGAGAACCAGTTGACTGCAGCGCCAGGGCATACTCTGCTGCATCTGGCCAGGGTCTTGTTCCTCATGCCTGTTGTATACATGTGTCTAGGCAGAGCAAAAATGAGCACAAGGGATGCGCAGAGACTTGTTTGAAGTGACAGCTGCAATGATCCTCCTAAGGGGATGTGGCTAACTGATGAACTGCTTCTTCCAGGTACACGTTTCCCTGCAGTAGTTACTCTCTGATGTGGTTACAACTAAATTAGAATATTGCGGTTCTTTAGCAGAATCATTCCATGGATGCTCCAGGTTTGGTCACTTGGGAAAAGCTGTCTCATCACTTCCCGACACCAGCTTCTGATGTTCCCCGTACTTCCTGAAAGGCACCTCTGAGGACGGAGGTTCAGCACAGTGTTTTATAAGGACATCCTCAAACATCGGCTGCATCAGAGAAAGGAGCTGCCACCAAGATCAAACCATAGTGATACACATGTATCGATGGGACAGGTGCATATATAAATATACCTGCAGGGATCACAGCAAAAACTATCAGCAAGGGATTCCGTATCCTTCTTGGTCACACTTCAGAAGATAGCAACTGTGCTCAACTTAGTTCTAATAGCATGTGACCCGTACTTTAGGAAACCTTGCTCCAAAGAAGCTGCCTGGTTTGGAGTAGGAGAAAGGCGAAACGTGGACATACAAAGAAGCTCTTCGTACGCCCTGCAGAGTCTGACGCAGGGCTGTAAGTACACTCCCCAGAAGTCACTGCTGTGGCATTTCATTGCGCTTTCAAAAGATGGAAATATCAAACAGGCTGGTGGGTGAAGTGGGTCCTTGGCTTCCTGCTTCCTGGTGATACACAGTGGATGTATCATTTCTCATATCCCCAAAAATCAAAGTATCGGTCTTGAAAACACTCACAAGTATGGGACTGCACAGATAACGGGCCACTTCCGGAGAGGGTCAGTTGGCATACTGGGCGTAGAAAGCTACTTTAACCCTCTCGATCTGATGACACAACTTGATGGCGGGCCCCAGCTTCAGCTCCATGCACTCCTGCACGGTCGGAAGAGTCAGCAACAGGAGCGCCTGGCCGTCGATGTCCTGCCAGGAGACAAAGCCAGGTTAGAGAAGAGGCTGTTTGGGCCAGGGATAAAGCTCAGTGGCATAAGCGCCTGCCTTGTAAGCGCAAGGTCCTGAGTTTGATTCCTGGTACCAAAAAAAAAAAAAGAAGAAGAGGCTCTCTGCACCCAGGGAACGCATTCCCCACTCAGCCCTCGTCCTGGGACCACATCTGCGCTGGGGCCTGTGCTGGGGCTGCTACTGGGGAGAGTGTGGGCAGAGATACCAAACTTGGCTTGACGATAGTCTAATCTTTGTGATAATAAAAACTTATTTTTTTTGCCAAGAACATTTTGACACTCTGACACTCACAGGCCCAGCCTACCATGGTAGGTACCGAGAGATGGACCAGGTGGGCTGCAACCAGATTCATTTCTCAAGCTTCCTGTCCCTTCCTGAGAGAGCAGCCTCCCCCCACCAGGCCAGGTCCTTCCTATGCTAATGTGAGCACCAGTGAAGAGCTTGCTACTAAAAGTATAAGCTCTCTTACTTTCCAGCCAATGCCTGACATTTCACAATCAGGAGCGGTGAGAAGATGCTGAAGACATATATGCCAACTACCCAGCATGCTTTTCCATAGAGGAAAACATCACACACACACACATACACACACACCTGTGTGCCACACCTGCCTGGGTCACTTAAGTTCCCCACTGCTATATACCTATGGAGATGGACACACTCTATGCTCCTATACATGCACTATAACAGTCATTATTTATAGCGGAAGAAGCTACGTGGAGATTACACTCTGGTGTCCAATTGGAACCGAAGCCAAGGGAGTGTACCAACCTGACACCTGAAGCCACATCTTTGGGAGAAAGTCTTATACTGCAGAAACCCTATAGAACTGGCAGAGTGAATGGATCCACAGATGCACACATACTGATGTTATAGGCAGTTGAGTTAGATAGAAATATTTTAGGCAGTCAGACAGGGCCAGGCCCTTGAAGAAGCCAACAGGAGTGATACGTATTTGCTGTGGGCCAGACCTCAAGACAAAGGACTAAACAAATGTACCCACATACCTCCCTAGGGATGGACATCAGGGATTGATATTCTAAATGGGTAGCAGTCACCTTGAAGAGTCCTTGACCCAAGCCCTTACAGGAAATCCCCTGTTCTGTATTCATGCCCGCTTGCTACGTGACTCAGTTCCCCATTTGATCCCAACTTAATAAATTTTACCTGAACAATTCTTATTGGTCGACCATAGTTTTGTCTGTTTTCCCGTACCTTGGACCCACCTCACCTCGTGGTTTTGCTCTATAAAAGTCCCTAGAAAAGACAGAGTCTTGGGGTAACCCACTTGGGCCCCCTTCTGTCGCTCTCTTGAACAGAAGCTTTCTTTTCTTTCCCTCAACAAATATATTCTACTCTTCACCTCCGTTGTTCCTAAAATTCATTCTTCGACTTCAGAGAACACGAACCCACCCCAGATACCACTCAGGTTGGGAGTTTTTATTTTCCTGTATCACCGACGCAGGGACACAAGAAGTATGAAGAAAGCAAAGTAAAAGGATAACGCCGAAGGAACACAGCAGCACTAGAAATACAACTCAAAGAGAAGCAAGTTCATGAAATGCCTGAAAGAGAATGGTTCTAAGGAAACTCTAAGAAATGAGAGACACCCACATATTTCAGTGAAATTAGGAAAACAACTTGTGATATAAGTAAGTCAGGAAAGTGATAGAAATCATGAAAAAGAACCAAAGAAAAATACTGAATTTAAAGAACTGTAATACAAATGGAGAATCCTACACAAGATCAATCAGAAGGAACTCCTGAACCCGAAGGCAAGTGTTTTGAAATAACCTACTCAGATGAAAGAGAAAAAAACAAAAAAGCAAGTAAGCCTCCAAAACTTATGGGACACTATTAAACAAAGAAATATTCAAAGAATAAGCTTTCTAGAAGAAGAGAAGAGAAAATACACAGAAAAATCTATTTGAGAAATAATGGCTGCAGACTTCCCAAATTTGAGTGAAAATATGGATATCCAAATCCAGAACACTCAGAAAATGACAAAGTGCCATATTACAGCAATCTGTCATAAATCCAAGTCAAGGGCTGGGGATATAGCTCAGAGGCACAGCGCATGCCTAGCATGTGCAAGGTCTGGAGTTTGATTCCAGAGAGCAAAAAAAAAAAAAAAGAAAAGAAAATCCAAGTCAAACTACAGAATTCCAAAAAACAGCAAAAGAAAAGTGCCAAGTCACATTTAAGGGAAACCCCTTTACACTCACTGAACATTTCTCAGCAGAAATGTTATAGGCCTGGAGGGAATTTGAGGATATAGTCAAAGTTCTGAAAGAATAAAATACTTGCCAACCAAGGCACTATACCCAGCAAAGCTGTGTTCAGAAATGCAGGAGACATAAAGAGCTCCCAAAACAGGTGACAGGGAATTCATCTCCAGTAGACAGGACTAGCTAAGATGCTTAAGAGAGTCCTAAACTAGAAGGAAATGAAGGTAACTACCATGACGGAAACACACACATGGACACAGGGACACAGACACACACACCTTTTCATTCCCAGACATACACTGCCAGAGTGAAGTGCTAGCCCCCTTCTATGAGTATACCTATCCCAAAACCCATACCACAAAGACAGTCATTAAATGATTGTTACATTGAATTTGCTACTGGAACAAGGGGATAAAGACTCATTCCCAAGGCCTATGCATTCTCCTGGACTTCTCTGGCTCTTCACTAGCTTGCTTCCTATAATAACCTGATTTACACATATGGATGTCTGTGATTCTGTTATATTCCAGAAGTAACAGTGGCTCAAACAGACTGTAGGACTAAGTAATGGAAAAGATCAGTGGTCGCATGACAGCATAAACTGAACTCACCACTCAGGGAAGTTTTACAGCCTGAGCTACCGTAAGTCACAAGGATTAAACAGCCACACGACAGCATACAAGCGTTATAGACATCATTTATCAATGGGTTTCACACAAGGAGCTAACTTTCTTAAACTAATGGTTTATTTAGCTGTCTTACAAACATCTAAAGCAAATGGTAGCCTTGTGAACAATGATGTCAACAGTAAGCATGATTTATCCCCTGATCAAGTTCAAAGGACTGATGTTGAGACAAAAATAATTTATTATCTGATTAGATTCAAAGGCCACAGTCTGCCCTAATAAACACAGCAGCAATAAAAATTAAGTATTTACTTAATGTTTGTGCAAATGCACAAGCACTTGCAATTCATTACTTTCAAATTACAGATGAGCGCCAGCTATGATGTATGGAACTACAAGCCATGTCTCAACAAAGACTCATGTGACCTTATCAAACCGGAAAATAAGCAGATCAGTCAGAATCGCTGTGACAGGCTCCTGCAGGGAGAGCTGCCCTCCAGCGAGCTAGAACACACACACCAGTGCTTTCTGACAGAGGACCAGGGGAGGAGCCTTTAAGGCACATCCTAGGCTCCCCCCAAATCCTCCTTTTACATGACTCTTACATGGGAAGAAAGGAGGAAGACAAGGGTTAATTCTGTGAAGTTACATGTATGTAAGTGTGTAAATAGGTGTATATGTACATATCTGTGTATCTATGCTCAAAATAAAAATTCGCATCTAAATCTCCAGGTAGAAACTTGAAGACGGCTGTCTCACTTTCAGCTTTCTTAAAAATTCCAGGGGCTTTTGTCCACAGCTGGGCAGCCTTTGTCGTATAGACCTTGAACATAAACGCAGAGCTTCTGGAACTTTAAAGACCACTGATTCCTTCCTAGACAGCCCAAGTACGTGTCCCGGGATGCTACAGTGCCTTAAATCAAACATGAGGACATGTTGGTTGAGAGTTTGGCTCACTTCAAAAGACTATCCCCCAAACACCACGTACTTGCCTCCCGGGATAAATATGCTGGATACAAAAATCCTGTAATTAACCACATAGAAATGATCAGAGGGACTGCCACCGCCCAACTCTCAGCCCACTCAGGGGTACAGCATGACCGTGAGGTATCCGGGAGGCACAAAGGACACAAAAACATTTCCTGAATGGAGAGATCACCTACAATATGTCTGAAATAAAGTCAGGCTTTGGCATTACATGCTGTAACTGCCTAGTTCATTTCCAAAGCCAGGAAAGAGAATATACTCTCTTTCCCAGGACACGGCACCCCCAGATGCTCCAGGAGAAAGGCTGGTGTAGCCTGTGCTATCCTCACTGTCAGCACCACGCCCCTGCCTCCCACCTCCCAGCCACTGCCCGCTCCAGGAGCCTCGGTTCCAAGCCTACTTCATGCTCAACAATCTACGCAGACCCCTGGCCTCCGCTTTTGTGGAAGTGAAGAGGGATTGCCGGGCCTACGGCAATTGGCATCAACTTTCGAGGCTAAATTCAGTACTGTTTCTTCCCTGATCTCTCTGTTTACATCGATGCCTTCTCTTTTGTTCTCTTCCGTGCACCTGCCAATTGTGCATTTGTCTGTGATCCCCAGTTAAGTGCAAGCAGTTAGGGTGTGGGCTGTCTTATCCTTCTGTGTTTTCAGGCAGCTTTTAATAAAGCACCTTGCCCTCAGAGGTTACCCTATCTTCCTGCTGAAATGAAAAGTGTTACACATAATTGGCCATAAAGAAATCAAGGGCCCTCTCAATTACTAATCCTATCTTGATCATCAGAAAGTCTTTTCCTCCTATTAGCCGGCATAAGGCAAGCCAGTAAGTGCGTGCTCAAATACTGGGTGACACGACGCAGAGCAAGAATAGGAAAGGGAAATTGGGGGAGATTGGGGAGAAGCAATTAAAGCAGTAGTATTACAAATGGGGCATCACTGAGTGTCCCCAGATTTCGCAGGACTGGGGCTTCCTGCATAGAGAGGTTTATTACCGTGCACGTATCTGAGCCTTCTGTTTGGGAAACTGTGGATGAGAATTGTTAAACAGTCTGGGCTCGGGGGCTCTGAGCACTTCTGCCGAGGAACAGGTATGTCCATCGCAAGCCAGGTTAGCAATCTCA